GCTTAGAGACAGGAATCCTCATATCATCTTGGTAAAATGGTTGTCCAAACTTTTCTTGAAAGCTTCCAGCAATGAAACACCCACCACTCTGGGAGGAAACCTTTTCCACTGCTTGAAAATTCTCATTGTCAGGAAATTACTCCTTAGTTCTGGGTTGGAACTCCCTCTGATGAGCTTCCCACCATTGCTTCTTGTCCTATCCTCAGGTTCTAGGGAAAATAAATCAAAACACCTCCTTCTCTATATTGGAAGAGTGTTATCATGACTTCCCTAAGACTTCTCTTTGTTAAGATATCTTGTTACTTTAGCCATTCTTCATAGGATTACTCTTTGGACCCCTTATCATTTCCGATTCTCTTCTCTGCGTTCTTTCTAGAATCTTCCAACATCTTTTTTGTAATGTGGTGCCCAGAACTGGATGAAGCGTTCCAAATGCAGCCTCATTAATGTGATGTAGAGTGGTACTATTATTTCCTTTGATCTCGATGCTATCCCTCGATTGATGCAGCCCTGGTCTGATTTGGCTTTGCAGCACACTGATGACTCACACTTAAGCAGTGGTCCACCAGGATCCCTCGATCCCTCTCCTAGGCACTACTGCCTATCATGCACTGATGCATCCAATTTTTCCTGCCCAAGTGCAGGACCTTACTTTTCTCACCACTGAACTGCATTTCATTGGATAGGACCCAATGCTCAAGTCTGCCAAGATCCTTCTGAATCTTCAATCTACCTTCTAAACTTAGCATTAGCAATCCCTCATCCACAAATTTGATGAGTCGCGTTCAATCTCTTCATCTAGGTCAGGGGTATCCAACCCCCATTTCACAGTCTGGTGGTGGGCCACAGCCCGTTCAGAACCAGGCCATGGAAATGGTGAACAAGAACATGCATGCAAGTGTGTGAAGCTGCATTAGTGAAAGTGGCATATGCACTCAAAACCATCCCTACTTCCCCCACATGTGCTGCTGCTGCCTCTACTGGTCTGCTGAGCTGGAATGTAGGTCATTTTAAAGAGCCCTGGTCCAGGGGTGGGATTCAACCGGTGTTACTACTGGTTTAGTGACTATGTTTTGTGCGCGCATGCGCACTCTGTGCATGCATGTACGAAACATTAAGCTGTGCCACCCGGACAGCTGAAAAGTGCTGCACACAGGTGCACAGCATTTGAAAAGCCTCTTTTTTCCTGCTTTTTCAACCTCAGCTGTGGCGCGCAAAGCAGCTGAGGTTGAAAAAGCAGGAAATAAAGGACAGGTAAGAGCCCAGGTGGGCGGGTGGACCAAACAGCAGCAAACACAGAATCGGTTTGGTGTCTGCTGCTCTTCAGAGCTATCGGTTCTATAGAGTTGGGCAGAACCGGTAGCATCCCACCCCTGCTCTGGTCCCAAGACATCTCTATATCTAATGAATGTTCTCAGGCAGATCCTTCAGCAAGGTGGCTACCCAGCTCTGACAGCAAACTTCACCTGTTTTATCTTCTCTCTCTGTTCTGAAGCACTTCCACTGGAGTTGATATGGAGACTCTTTTTATACATGGCCATGCGGGTTTTCCCTTCACTCCTCTGAATTTTGGGGAGACGGGCCCTCTCTTGCTGCTGCCGAACTTTCAGCTGTTCTATCATGCGCTGGTTATATCGTTGCATTTGCTCACGTTCCTGAAATATAAATCACCAAAGTCAGGGGTGGGATTCTACCAGTTTGCACCTATTTGCTAGAACCAGTTGTTAACATTCTAAGCAGTTCGGAGAACCAGTTGTTAGAAGAAATTACTGGTCTAATCCTGTAAGGAAGGCAGGAAGGAAACATTCTGGTGTTGCTTACAGAAATTGCCTCTCTGTTATCCCTTATTACATTTTTGGCAGGACTAGACTTCCTGTCTCAGAAACTTCTCTGGAGTTATTTTTCCCTCCTTTGCTTGTGTGGAGTGACCATTCAAAGTTACAATGGCACTGAAAAAAGTGACTTATGACCATTTTTCACACTTACAACTGTTGCAGCATCCCTACAGTCATGAGAGGCCAGGTGAGGAGATGCGTGCTTCGATGTGAGTGATATTGAGTTGGCCACGCCCAGCCAATAACATGACCACCAAGCCATGTCCATCCAGTCACATGACCACCAAGCCATGCCCACCACCTAAGCCATGCCCATAGAACCGTTTGTTAAAAAATTTGAATCCCACTCCTGACCACAGTGGTGGGAACCAGTGTAACCACAGTGGTGGGAACCATATTACATTCAGAGACATCAATGGCAAGGAGCCACAAATTATTGAACAAAAAAACCCAAAAGGGTTGTTGGGGTGGAGAGAGAAGTAAGATCAATCTGGAAAACTTGAAGATGCAGAGAAAGCTAGTATCAGTTTTGTTTCTGAAGGAAATAACATCAATGCCTCCAGCTCTTATGAATGCATCCCTAGTGTAAGCTATTGGGAACTATCACAGAGACAACAATGCTAATTAAGCCAGCTGAAACATAAAAGCTATCATAGAAAGTTGGCAAATTACAGATCTACCCAGTGGGATTTCTTAATGGAAATCATAATCATTATGTTATTTATGTGTGGAAAGACTACCTGTTCAATGCAAAGTGTAGTCATGTGTAAGAAACTATGCACATAAGCAATATATGAATATTAGCGATCATCCAGACCTACAGTACAGGTGCCAATATATCAGAGGCACAATATATATTAGTATTCTCCACATTAGAAGAAACGTTAATCTCTAATGGAAATGAAAGGCATCTTGTTTTATAATGTAAAATAAGCAGTTTTGCCAAAGATTCAATGCAATTTCTATCACAGCAAAAGGCAAAAATAGAACATTTGATCTAATGTTGTTGTTTCTTTCTCTGAAATCAGAGTTTAATCTGATTTGAAGATATTTTCTTTAGCAAACTTGACCTTAATCCCAGTGGATATTGAAAGTACAAACCAACACATTGAGAGAATCCTAATTTAGGAGAGACTTAATCTAAGCGTGTGTCCTCCCCCTAGTAACTCTAGACGGTTGTATTATAATCAGAGTACTCCTTTCAGGAGCTTAGAAGCCCACAGTTACTGTACAATTTTAAAACTTCAACATTATGATGGTCTACCAAATAAGCTTTCACATATCTCCACACTCTGATTCTTTTGCACTCTAGATTTATATATCTGCAACTTTAGATCCCACCTATCATCCAAAAGAACAGAGAATGGAAAATGCTACCTACCTTCTCATGTTTTCGGAGCAGCTCGTGTCTCTGGAGGAAATACTGATCTTTTAGTTGCTGTTTCAAAATCTGGTGCTTCTCCTGCAGATGGTGCTCTTCAAGATCCCAAATAGTAGCTTCTCGGTCTGCAGGGTTAAAATAAATAAATAAATATAGTTGTACAATACTTGAACAGTGAGGGGAAGAGCAACTGTTTCAATCTCAGCATATCTACCCTCATGCTCATTTTCTGTCCCCTCAACCTTCTCTTTATATTATGACGTAATTGGCCTGAAATTAAAAGGTGAATGAATGACAAGAGCAGCTGTTTTTCTTTGCACAAGGGTTCCCAAAGCAAGAAAAGAGGAAGGATATGTGTGTGTGTGTGAGGGAACTGACTGCAAAATCTTTGCTACAGAGATGGAAAACCTGTGAGCCTCTAGATTAGTTGTTAGTACAAATAATCATTTTCCAATTGGTGTTACCTTGAAGCATCTCCTAATGTAGGAAGCTTTTACATGCAACTTTCCTAATTCACATTTAAAAGAAAAATAATAAGCCTCCCTTATGTATAATTTTGCATATGAATTCCATTTTAAAATATTTTTCTGGGTTTTTTTGTAGATGACCAGGCTGAGCCTGAGAAGAATGTTAAATGCACCATAAGTTTGGAGTCACTATGACCCCCACAAGAGACCTAAGTCCAACCCACTGTCCAGGGTTAGGATTAGGTTTAGGTTTAGTCTTAGTCTGCTGACTCTTATCTGGCACCAATTTGCCTTGATTGTTAGTAGATCAGGTTCTTGTATATAGGTTGCAGGGAATAAAGCTGCAGTGCTTTTGAACTCTATACTGGCTCCTGGTTTCCTGAACTTGACACTTTTTTCTCTTTGCATATCTATTCCTCATATGTACTTTTTAAAATAATACAAACACTTTGATGTACATAAAATACGGCTTTGTGACAGATGAGATCTCTTCCCATCATATCTTTTACAAATAGTTCTTCAGAGGAGATCTTTTATCAAAGAAAGATGAACAACCAGATACTACAATCTGGGAAGAATTCATACTACAGTGGCTTTTGCTTCCTTAGAAATCTGTAGCAAAGATTTACTTTTACATTTCTATTTCTGTTTTTAATTTTTTGATTCCAACTCTCACTTCCCACTAGCCAGAAAGCTGGAAGGTGTAGATCTGGAATATTACAAGTTTCCCCATCCTTGTGTTATAGGTAAGCTCTATTTTTGATATTTTATTGTTGGCCTGTGACAAAAAGTGGTTGAAAACTTGTAACCAGATTAATTGGCTACTTTCCCCCAAAATAACTCTCTATCTTAAAACATTATTTTAAAAGCTTAAAATATTATTTCGTAGTATAAATACTGATGAGCACTCAAGACAATCCAAAGGCATGCTTCTCATTACTGTAAAGGATTTGCATCCTTCCTGTTTACAGCGTTGCCAATGCTCTCCAATAGGTTGCATTGCCTTTAAACGAAAGCATATTCTTCTTAGTCTGACTTCATTGCTCGTAATCCATTCTAACTGGTCCATTTAAGGAAAAAAAAAGCACCTCTCATAAGTTGCTGCTTTTTATTGAGGCACTCTCGTTCTTTGTCACAGATCTCTTTCCGATTCTGAGCTGTAATGTTTTTCATAGCCTGCTCCAGATCCTCAGATTGTTTGGCTATAAAGTCTTGTTCCTGGAATGAGAGAGGAGATGTATGAATGTATATGTCTTGGCCGGCCAGAGCTTTCCCAAATCTGCCAACTTTTAGATATGTTGGGATGGTAATTCTCAAACTAATTAGGAACTAGAATTCCAGACTATCTGAAGATTTTGAGATAATCCATAGTGTTTCTGTTTGGGAATCTATGTTGCTGTAAGAGTTTGTGCTACAGTGTCAATTAAATCTCTCTCGTGTCTTACCATAACTTGCTTTTTTTGTACAAATTCATCCATCTTCACTTTCATGCTGCTCTTGCGTTGTTGCCGTGGGAGCTTTTCAATGTCATTTTTGAGCTTCATAGCAGAGAAAAAGACAAGCAGTCAAACTTTTGAAATATTCAGAACCACTAGGAAGCCTTTTGTAGCTTAGAAGGATCTATAATAGGGTTTCATACATTTAGCTGAAAACATTGGAGTGCAGTCAGTTTTTTGTTTCTCTTTGGTCTCTCCTTCCTACTCTCTTGCTGTTGCTCATTCTTTTATTATTGGCCATTTTTAAATTGGATTTGTTCCCCAAATTCCTCCCTAAATACCTTTCTATTCAGCAGTCCCACCTTGGTCAATAGAATGTATTTCTAGTGCGTCTATACAGAAATGTCTAAAGATGTTGAAAAAGTTTGTGGAAGAAGTGAGATTTGAACCAGGAACTTTACAATTCATTCATTAAGCAACTTCATTAGTTCTTCCTCCCTTCTCTCTCACTCCACGTTTTCACTCTTCTTTCCCTAACTCCCTTCTCTGTATTCCTGGATATTTTTCTTCCTCCTTAGACTGATTTCTTCATCATCTGGATTTCACCTTCCAGCCCCTTGAATTTTTTTTTTGTTCATGACAAACACTTTAACTGACAGCTGGGTTGGCATCCTAACATTATCCTAGGATGCCCATAATTCAAACCGGCAGCTTTACCTCTTTCTTTCTTTGTTTCAGCAGTTCTTGAAATTTAACCAGATCCCGTTCTTGCTCAGCACGGATACGTTTAGCTTCATCTCGCCGGTGCAGCGCGTGATCTTGTTCCATTTTTTCAATCTGTTGCTTCTGTTGCCGTTCTAGGTTTTCTAGTTCCGTGTCATAAAATTTCTTCTTCGACTATACAAGGAAAGACAGATAGAATCTTAATTCAGTAATTAAAAGCAAAGTTTGCGGAGGGGAAACAAGCTTAGGTATCTAAGTTTGGTTTCATATAAGGATCATTATTTAAGTTCACATTAATTAATTCATATTAAGGAGAAACTTCCTAACAGTGAGGACAATTAACCAGTGGAATAGCTTGCCTACAGAAAACATGGGTGCTCCATCATTAGAGGTTTTTAAGAAGAGTCTAGACAGTCACATCTAAAATGGTATAGGGTCTCCTGCTTGAGCAGGGGGCTGGACTAGAAGACCTCCAAGGTCCCTTCCAGCCCATTCTATTTTAAATCTAAAACACCCTCTCACTATCTTGGCTGCTGAACATTAAAAAGTCCATTGCTGGAGCTGTAACTGAGAAGTAACACTTATTATTTCACCTTGGATTCAGCAAGAGAAAATAAGGCCACTCACTTCTTCATGCTTGCCATCTTTATTTTTTTTTAATGCCTTAGTTTGATGTAATTTCTTTGTTGTGAGTCACCACAACAAAAAGTTGTTGAGAGTCAGGTAGTAAACAGGTTTAAACAATAGTAGCTGTGATGTGAGACCCCTGAACTAAAAGGATGGGCAATATTTTGGGACTAGTGGCCTCACTGATCTTAATGCAATCCTTTGGGGGATGATAGGATTCATTTTGCTTATGATTGATTCAGCAAGGACAGTCTGGACAATAACTATTAGGATCTAACTGTGGCATCCTTGTTTGTAAGCTGTGGATTGCCTCTTTGTGCGTGTGAGTGTGTGTGTGTGTGTGTGTGTGTGTGTGTGTGTTTGTGTGTGTGTTACAGTAGATCAGGAAAAAGCTGTTCCAAGATTCCTTCTATCTATAAGATTGGATGATGCACATTAATAGCAGGAAAAAATAATGGGAAAAATTGCTCAAATGCAGGAATAATTTCAGAGAACAGTGCAAATGCACAAAGAATGAGAAATTCCTGTTAAGCCTGATTGAAAACTGGGAATGTATAGTCCTGAGAAAACTTGAGGATGGTGACTGTTAATTGTTTAAATATAGTATTTGAAACATCATTGCCAATTTTTTTGAAGATTTAACAATAGAGAATCTGCGTAGGATTCAGCAATGCTGATACTGGCAGATGAAATGATTGCATTTGTTTACATAACTCTTCTTCAACCTTGTATTCTCCAGATGTGTTGGAATATAGCTCCAACAATTCCATATTACTATAGTCATGATGTCTGCATGCCCTTAGGATAACATCTGCAGAAGACCCTGAATTAGAGGTGGCATACTATCAGACATAAGAACAGTGACTGAAAGAAATTTCTTCTCCCAGAATATTTAACTAAATATGCTGCTTCCTGACATTCTGAACATGCAGGACAATGTGAAAAACAAATGCATACCAAAATTTTACAACACAAAAATGCATAACTAAAAATTAATTATGTTTGGATGGGAGATTCCTGCAATTTTTTAGAAGTGTGAGAAATTATTAGGGATAGAAGTAAGAATAGCCCTTGTTTTGTATGTGCTAAGTTGGGAATATGAAACCTTGTATGCTCCAGATATTTTGAACTGCAACTTCAAAAAATCAGCATGAGAAGTTCTTGGAGTTCAAAACATTTGGGATTTTGCTGCTTGATATTATGATTTTAACAAGGATCTTCCAAAGGATCTTCAACATTTGAAGACACTAAAATATAATCATAGGAAAATTATTCTGAACAATAAAAGATTTCAATGTCTACTACACCTAACATTCACAATCTACAGTAAAGAATATTGTTATGTTACATTATGTGATGTTATGTTATGTTACATTATGTTACAATACGATATACAATATATAACGTGTTGATACATCCACACAAGTAAGATTGCCATTCTATCCATAATTCTTTAGGAAACTGACACGACTTTTAATAATAATGTTTAGGTTTCTTCCTAGCCTAATACCACGTATGGCTTATTAATTTTTCTTTTCTCCATCTTCGGCCAACTTCTAGAGATGACAATTCCTACTCCCACTTACATTCATTTCTTGCTCAAAACGTTTCAACATTTGTTCCAGGAGCAGCTGATGTTTGTTTGTTAACTGTGTCTGATTCCGATGTTCCTCTTTCTGAAGTAAACGTAGCTCCCGCAGCTCCTGGCGCCTGCAGAGTTAAAGTAGAACGGAAGTTTAGAAACAAAAGAGAAGCTTTCCCTTTAAGACTAAAGCTACACAGAAGCACATTTAGGCTAGCATAATCATAATGAAGACTAGCTAACATAGGCTGCCTACTGCCATCTGCATTCTAAGGATCTAGAATCTTCTTGAGGGGAGGGATGACTCTTTCAATCACTGGCATAAGCATATACCACTTTCAGCCTGCAGGCAGAATATTTTAAAGAGGCTGATTTTTCCAGCTCTTTCTTGTTTATATTTGCACATCTGGCCTTGAATTATTCAGATTACATCATGCAAACATTTTGAATAAATGCAGTTTAATACAATCCAACAACTGCATGCAAGAATATATCTCTGTCCGAAACTTGGCAAGCTGAAAGAAATATAATGAATAACTCAGGTAAGTTTGTAGTGTTGACCTCTATTGAACTGAGTTTTAGAAAACTGTTGTCATATTCCACTTTTTGGGGGGTATAATTTAGATTTTACATCTCAAGCTGCTGCCAGACATATATAGATTCCTGTGGTAATAAAAAGAACAGGCAAAAACATTAGCAATGATTGCTGAACTTTTCATTTTTCCCTTCCCCATTCTTGTTCTGTTGCATAATTTAGTGCTTTCTAGATGTCTTATTCTGCAACTCCCATAAATCCAAGCTAGCCTTTGGCCAAGCTAGATGGAAGACTGGATGATAATTCTCAATATCTGGTTCCATAAGATAATTTCTAATCTCTAGTGACATAACACAAATAAAAAATTATAGACCAATCTCGTTATTAAATGCAGACTACAAAATGTTTGCATCAATAATGGCTGAAAGATTAAAAAGATTCCTAATTGACTTTATTCATCTAGATCAAAATGGGTTTTTACTCAAGAGACTAATAAGAAATAATATAAATATAATTCTGGATACACTAGAATATTATGAAACCCACAATGAAAAACAATTAGCATTAATATTTCTGGATGCACAAAAAGCATTTGATAACATAAACTGACAATTTATGTTGCAGCAACTAAAATGTATGGATTTCAGGGGGATATTCTTAAATATGGCAATGGTGATTTATACTGAACCAAGGCTGAATCTTATTACCATCAAAAAATTCTTCCTAATATTTAACCTTTTCAGTGATTACCTAAACAGTCAGGCCTGTACAAAATCTTACAAACAAAACACAGTTTTAGCTTGCCTGAGGAATCTCATCTCTTCATCCTTCTTTTCATCTTCACTGATGATTTTTGAGGTAGTAACACTCACTTCCACTCCATCTACTACAAACCTTCTTGTTCGTTTCAGTGTCATGTTCTGCATTTTTGCATTCTACACATATAACAAAAGACAAGTGTAAAAAGATATTCTGGATACGAAATAATTATTTATCGTAACAAAACAAAATGTGTTTTATAAAAGCTTGACAGGAATCATAATCACCATGGGGAGTAGAGGGAGAACAGCTATTTTTTTAGTGAGAAAAGTCAGATTCCAAGATGATATTAAGAAATTAAAACAATAGATTCCACACATATTCTTGATTTGTATATTCATTTTGCTTTCAGTATTTGTATTTCAGGGAGGGAGAACACCCTGTCCAATTAGAAGACTTTGGCACAGAGCAGGAGGGACTGACAGTTACTGAATGCCAATCATTTTTTTTCTGAAATTTCAAAATTTGAACCCTCTCTGAAATCACAAATATTTGAGTATCTTCTCTTTCCACCAAACAATAGGACTCATCCTCTCTCACCATGCTTTATCATTACAGTATCCATCTCTAGGCAGGTAACATAGTATTATTTAGATTTTTCAGTGACATCACTTGCAATGGTGTTTCATCAGTCATTAGTTGGCAATGCTAAAACCCAAAACACTTGTGAAGCATTTGGTTATTTTCCTCTGATTTTCTGGACATGAAAGTTTCTTACCTTCCTACCCACTGCAACCCAAAACACAACCTGATTGCAGTAGAAGATTGAGACTTTCAAGAAGAGATTGGACTGCCATTTGTCAGAAATGATGTAGGGTCTCCTGCTTGGGTGGGTGGGGGTTGGACTAGATGACCTATAAGGTCCCTTCCTACTCTAATTATCTGTTATCTGCTGAATTTCCCAGCCCTACAATCCAAGGATGCATTGTTGCATCAGTAGATGAAGAGACTTGGAGGTTCTAGCTCACCTTGGCAAGCAATCAAAAAATCAGCGGGAACAGGGGTGCTATTTCTGTTACACTGAATGACAACAGGAGGTGTTTCCTTTCAATCTCTTCCTAAGCAGTGCTTGCCATCTCTGGTGGCACAAAAGAGAGGCTGTGCTTTTTGCTGATCATTCAGTGGGGGTGCCTACATAATGCACAAGCCCCATCCACAATCTCCAATTCTTACCTTTAGGGAATGGGACTCACTGCCTCTGTTCAGGGACAGATCAGTAGACAAAGAGATGTTGAGGTCCATACTCTCTGAAGCAGAGGTGCTTCCGGAATCAGAATCTCTCTTGAAGCTGTCATTCTCAAACTGAGAAGAGTTCAAACTCCCATTGGGGACTTTTTCTTCAGTCGGTGTTTCAAGGAGGCTGTTTACAGTTTGGCTTCCCCAATTTGAATCCTCGCTGTTTGCTGTTTCAGGGCTTTCCTTTTGGTAGTTGACAGCCTCATCCTTTGCTGCTTTAATGTTTTCATTGGGCTGTAATGCCTGGGGGCTGGTGCTTAACTTTTGTTTGGCACCAGGCAGGACTGAATAACTTTCTATTCCCAACAAATCTGAGCGCTCAGCAGTTTTGACCAGAGCTTCAGTTCCGACTTCTTCCTCCAAAAGCCTGCTGTCCTGTCCATTTATAGCTTCCTTGACGTGCTCCAAAGGCAACTTTGGTCCATTGGTTACAAGTGATAAGTGGTTTTCTTGAACCTTTTCTCCTCCCAAGCCTAGCTGGTTTGCGAGAAAGGAATCCCTCTTCTGAACGTCTTGAGGCTGAGTGAAAGAGGAGGGGAGACAAGAGGAAGACAATGAAATTATCCTTAAATTTTTTTTTTTTTTGCCTGAAGGAACAAGAAAGAACAATTAAGGAACAGAACACTGAAAACACTGAGATAAAACAGAGACTCCTTTTAAGGGGAAACAGGATCACATTCCACTCCAGAAAAGAATTTTTGTGAACAAAACCATTGAAACTTAGGCTGAGGTAGGTAATTTGTTTCATCATTGAGTTCTTAGGGAACTTTGAGTGCCTAGAGAATATTCACCCTCCCTGCCAGCTTATATAGTGGAGGTGGGGAGGAAGTAGAAGTTAAAAATAAAAGGGAGAGTTTAATTATCTCCTAGTAATTTGTCATTGATAAAGCTGCTTTCTCCTCTTTTGCTTCATCAGTTCATAGAAGGTCTCATTGCTAGTCTATAAATTGTTTTCCTTGCTACAGAACAGCTGACATCCTGCCGAAATTTTCCAGAAGGCTGTGTTTTGACTTTTCTTTGACACTGCTAGTGAACTGTTACTTGAAGTATATTGCCCCAGATCACTTTTTGCCAATTTTGCTTTCTTTGGTCTGCCTTTACACTTCTCAGTTTCTGATGATCTCTCCTCTGTAAGCCTTTTGTCAGGGTTACAGGATCTCCAATTTATAAAATAGAAAAAGGCTGTAACCAAAAATACTGAATTTTTGTCATGCCCCTGGCATGCTATCACAAGAATAAGGGGAGCAGAATGGGATATTGGACATCTGAGAGATTGAGTTGTAGCACTATTAAGGCAGAAGCAGGGATCACTATGCCTACCTCTACAGACAGAGACAATCTCCTCCTCTTCGTCCATATTGTCCAATCTTCAGAATGTCACTACTGTGGATGTGCAAATCCAAAGAGTGGAAAAACTCTAGGATCTATGGTGAGATACCTTGGCAGGAAGGTCTACTGGGAATTAGCTGTTATACTGAAGACCCCTGGCTTGTGCAGTCAGCTGGCTATTGATGGCTATGTCTGAATGGAGATTGGGAACCTGGACAAAGTATAATACTAGAACAGTATCTCAGTATTGTGTCCTCTGGGCCTACCATACAAGCTTTCCTAGGAATGCTATTCTTTCATCTGAACTTGAAAAACACTTTTTGACTTTTCCTATGAACCTAGAATTGTAAGTCACCTGGTCACTTGATTATATTGGGTGGCAATAGAAATAAACTTTATAATTTTTTAATAAATTTAATAATTTTTTGCTTATCTTTATTTAGATTGGACTGGCACCTTTGTGTCCTGATTTCAATTCTGAATGCACCTACACATTCATGAACTCAAACTATGAACAATTTTGCGGTAGGACAAGGTATACAGGCTGGGACAAGTTCTAACCTATCAAAATTATAGAGATTTATCTTGTATTACCATTATATTCCTTGTTTTCTGTCAATTAGATTGGCCTTATAATAGAGGGACAATACATTAATCTACTACATTTTTTTGCCCTTCCTCCAGTGAATTTAAGATAATGTAAATAGTAATATCTTCTGATTTATTCTCACAACATCCTTGTGAAGCAGACTAGGCTGAGAAACAGTGATTGATTCAAACTATCTTCTACTATGGTTTTCAAACAAACAATTATTCACTCTCTAGCGAAGTGCTAAGGCAAAAGACCGGAAGGGCGATGATTAATAACAATTGCATTTATAAAACCTCAGGACTCCTATTGTCCCAACTAGAACCAAGAATTCTTTTTGGACTATGCAAGTTGCAGTTGCTCAAATCTAAACTGGAGCTACGGTGAGGAAGGGCACATTGTTGAAAGCTCTTCATTAGAAAGAACTAAATTGGGACTGGATTCCCTGCCTTTCATCTGAGTAAGGAACAAAAGCAAAGCTGTTATCTATCTCCTTTAAAGTAACATGCAATTTGACTTCAGGAAACCACTCCTCTTGCTTTGAGGATTTCACCAAATAATCACTATCAGGCATTTTTTTCCCACTCTTTCAACATACAAAGGAGTAGGGAAATTAGTAAGGAAAGCGCCTAAAGGTGGAGCTGAAGTTTTCCTGGAAGCAGAAGGCTTCAGGCTGTCCTTCTACATAATTTGTATTAATGTCTGTCCACACCCCCATCCATTTCACTTTCTTTTCAAACTGTGCACTGCTCACCATTGTGCTGGATAGAATCTGAGTTGCTTCAAGTATTATTCATAAAGTTTTGGCAGCTAGTGAAGAGAATGCTGTGCCAAAACTGTATTCTGCATTTTTAACTCTTTTCTTTCAGAAGAGATGGGAAAAATGCTTTTCCAACAGAAAACAACATTTCCTGAAATCTCATGGAAAAAGTGGAAGATTCTTGCAGCTCTTTTAGTTTAGGAGATGGTCAAGGAATGAAGGCAGATATTCTGTCTCTCATTGTGGAACCATTCTATATCAATCTTCATCTCTCTTGCTTCCCATGCTTCAATTACATTACAAGAGAGGCAACCACAACAGAAATTCTCACTCGAGGCTTCTACTTATTAGACAGCCAGAAAGGCTGCAGAGGTGAGGACTAAAATGAAAGACAAATTGGGCAGAACAGCAGCATTTCTGCCACCTCGTTGTATTAAAGCACAAAACCACAACAAAAATAAAGAAAACCTCAGAATGAAAAATAGAAACAGAAACTTTATTCATAAGGGAAAGAAATCTCAAGAAATGGACAGGTTTCAGCCCAGAGCAAGGGCAGAATGAGTGTCACTAACATGGTAGTAGAGGTCTGACTATAGATTTTTTTGACTAGATTTATAGACTTTTGGTGTGGCCCAGGAAAAAATGAAATTATGTATGGTTTGGTAACTGGAAAAAATAGATTATAGAAAAAATATAAATCATGTTGCAATTCTAGACTTAAGAGGTTAATTTACATGCATATTTATAACTGCTGTAAAGAAAATTGGAAACTACTTCTTCATAGTTTCTTTCCTTTTTTCTCCCCTTCATTTGTAGCGTTTGCTTCTCTTTTTTCCCTGTATTCTAAATAGTCATTATTGTAAGTATTTAACTTTCTTTTTCAAAACTGCAATAAAGTTATATGACAAAAATATTCTAAAAAGGAACTAAAGTCATTCTCCAACTGCAGACAATCTAAACCTCAGCTATATTTCCTACAAGGCAGAAATCTTGGATTTCCTGTGTTGCATTTGATAAGCTTCAGTGATACTAGTCGTAGGAACACAAACCTCTTACAAAACATTTATATATGCCTTAGTTAAAAATTTTGTTACAATACACAACCTCCATGTAATGAGGTACAAATCTTCCTGTGTACTTGACACAGGAAGAGAGCCTGAAACCACATGTGAGTATGTATGTGTATCCGTGTATCTGTCTCTCTCTGTGTGTATACCTCAGAAGCAGTGTTGGGAAGCAGTGTTGGGATTCATTTTTTTTATTGTTGAAAAGTTAGTTTGTACAGGCTTCCATCTACCTCTTTCAAATGCTGTCTTTATTTTATTCATGTCAGGGACAAAAGACGGAAAGAGACAAAAGTTGAGCTTGCTTACAAGGTAAACTCTACAGAAGATTTTTTTCTTTTTATCCAGAGAAAACCATTGATGGATGGGAATGTGCAGAGCCTGCCCTACCTTAACCCACTTTGAAAAATATATTTTTTAAATAGTATTCTTGTTGTCGGCTTGTGACTGCAGGTCTCACCTTGCTTGATAATCCTGAATCCTTCGAAGGACTAAATGCCTCTTTCCTGTCCAAATGTCTATCCTTCTACCTGTCCCAGCTAAGCCTGAAAGCAGACAGTCCAGCCCAGCCCAGCCCAGCCCAGAGAGCGTCTTGCAGTTTTAATTCTAAGCAGCTAAAGGCTACATTCTTCATAGTTAAAGATGCCAAAAATTAAAACTTTTCCTAGGGGACATGTTTGTCCACACGGCGTGTGCATTTACTGAGAAAGCCATCTTGCTAGTGGAAAGGGAAGGCTTGGCTCTCTGCCCAAACATTGTTTGAAGGATTCCTGGCTGCTGAATTGAGAGCAGCCTCTTCCCATCCAAGGAGCCCATTCTTCCTGCCCACCTGCACAAAAGCAACACAACTTCTCTCCTCTGCAAGTAGCTGCAGGGGTCAAAGGTAGCCAGCAGTTTGCTTTCAAAATTCCAGTTAATGTAAATTTGTGGACTCTGAAGCATTTTTAATATGAATGTATACATATGTCTGTGTCTACTAACTAATGCATATGTGTATAAGCACACATTTAGGTTTATGTATGGGGAAAAGTAATATTTTGTCTTGTTTCCTTAACACAAACATCATTTAATGCAACAAAAGGAATTCAACTTACAGAGGCAGATTCTGACGAGTCCTCCTCTTCAACTTCCTCTCTATTGTCTTCAATTTCCTCCATCACTTCAGCCTTTGCCTCTGCCACCAGCTCACGTAAGGCTTTATTAGTGGTGACCTTGCTGACAAAAGGATGCTAAAAAAAAAAATCAAGGTCGTGAGTACCAGACTAGTCTGATTCTTTTGCAAATCAAGAGCAAGATAGTTCAAAGTGCATGTAGAGGCCTGGTCAGCTACTTCCCCCTTCCTTTGCTACTCAAATATTCATGTACAATACAGGTAGTCCTCCAACGTACGACCACAATTGACCCTAAAATTTCTGCTGTCAAGTGAGACATTTGTTAAGTGAGTTTTGCCCCATTTTATGACCTTTCTTGCCATAGTTGCAAAGTGATTTATTGCAGTTGATAATTTTTATAACATGGCTATTAAGTGAATCTGGCTTTGTCATTAGTTTTGCTTGTCAAAATTGGCAAAAGGTGACCACATGACTTTGGGACACAACAAAGGTAGTATGGATGAGCGAAGCATCTGAATTTTGATACGTGACCATAGGGATGCTTCAAAGATTGTAAGGGTGAAAAGTGGTCATAAGTAACTTTTTTCAGTGCCATTGAAACTTTGAACAGACACTAAATGAACCGTTTTAAGTTGAGGACTACCTGTACAATGTATTGATCACGAGTTACAGGAAATCATATTACAATCTCTAACTTTAAAATAAATAATCATAAATCAGTTTCTGCACTACTGGGGCCAAAACATTTCCAGAAAATATCAGGAGCTAGAAGTATATTTAGTTATCAGTCTTTTACATAGTCAGACTGGTTTCTTTCACAGTTGTGGAATATGTGTGCTTCCAAGTAGCAGTTCTACGCAAGCACTTACTCTCTTTGACAGTGAAACACTGAAGCTGGAAAATTGAACAGATAAGGCAAAGAGAAAATAGGAAAAGACATGAGGGCTAGTTGCCTTTTATAGCTTTAGAAAAATGTGTTTTTAATGCTTAATAAGTGCAACTGTGAACTGGAATTTTAAAACACTCCTCTTAAAATTGGACATTGTTGCTATGAGGTATGACAAAATTATGTTCTCAGGTATGACATTCAATCCATGGGACTCCAGTCATCTTCACTACTGCTTATAGAAGCATTATGCATAAAAAAACTGCATTCCTATGAGCAACTAAGGAGGTGAAATATACAAAATGTTATGTTAGGTGTCCCTCCATCAGAGATGAACAGGTAAGAAGTACCAATACCTAATCTTGTACAGTATATACACAGACTTACCTGGAAAAAAACACTTACTTTAGAATTATACTTATTTACATAAAAGAATTACATGGTTACCTTGCAATGTTGGCATTGCACGTGCAATCCTTACTCCTATTTTAGAAGTACACTTCCTCTAACCTCACAGGAAGAGAACAATCTCACCAAGCAAACCCATGAAGCAGCCATCAAGATTTTATTAATTTATTACTAAATTTATATGGCCACCCACCTTCACTTGCATGTGATTCTGAGAGGCATACTCAGTTAAAACACAACTATTAAAATCTAGTAAATATATTAAAAACAATTAAAATATTTAAAGATTAAAATTTAAAGGCAATATTAAAACATTTTTAAATTATTTTTTTAAAATATAAAATTTTTAAAACTTCAGGGTTTTCCACAATAGATATTATTTCATACTTTCTTTTTGTTAATGATGTCAACATAGTTTGGTTTTCACTATTTTTCTGCCAATAATCAAATTAATAATAATCAAATTAAAATCCCCTCCTCCACCGAATAGGTTATTTTTTTTTCCAAAAGTCGAAGTTAGCAGTAGGAAACAACAATTGCATTTCTGTTCAATGCTGGACCAAAAATTAAACTGTATAGAATAGCCCTTCCCAACAGTGGTGGGATTCAAAAAATTTTTACTACTGGTTCTGTGGGTGTGGCTTGGTGGCAGGGGAAGATTACTGCAAAATCCCCATTCCCTCCCACCCTACTAACCTGATTTCCAGCTCCGTTCTCCTGTTCAGGGCAATAAAAGAAGGCCCAGCCGATCAGCTGGGACTCGGGAGGCAGAGAATAGGTGGGAGCAGGGCCAGTCAAAGGTGATATTTGCCAGTTCTCTGAACTGCTCAAAATTTTTGCTACCAGTTCTCCAGAACTGGTCAGAACCTGCTGAATACCACCTCTATTTCCCAACCTGGGTACTCTCTCCCCGCATGTGTGGAATAACTCTCAGCAGCCATAATTCTCAGCAGTGTACAACATTTCAGAAGTACAAGGAAGATTGCACTAGATGCCTCAGAAAGCAGAACCACTCAAATGGCAGAGTTCTTTCTCCCGTGAGGAACAACATTTGTACGTAATTAGAATCTAAACTCCAGCAACCAACTTTTCTCTATATTAATAACCAAGGGGGAAATCTGTACTCCAACCAGAGAATGTGTGTAGATTTATGAGCCCTTCGCAGTGTCAACGTGTGACTCACTTGAGATGCTATACTTACTTCCAGTAATTGTGTGGCAGTTGGCCGGGTCTCAGGGTTTTTGTCAAGTGCAGTCTTCAGAAAATCTCTGAATGCTGGAGACCTTTATGAACAAACACACGCATTTAAAAATGTCGGGAGAAAGAAAACCAGGACACTCTATCCTGGAGACACACTACATGATTTACAAATTGAAATTGGTGCTTTTCAGTAGGAAGAAACAAAGCAGCACAAATTTGTATATAAATTAATACTCAATATTGGTAAAAAAAAAAAAAAGGTGGCCTTGATTAATTGCAGATCTACTAGTGTTGTGCAGCCCAGATAGCTGTTCAGAAGCAAGTTACATGCTGTCATTCTGTTCCCAATTCATGCCAAAGACCAAATGTTAGCAAGCTCACACAGGGATTAATGTCTGCCTGAGTTTAAAGTAATACAAAGCCTTCTGTCAGACAACTGATTGCACCTTTCTCCCTTCCTTGCACCCCTATTTCTGTGCGGGCTGCCATGTAAGAGTAGGTAAAACACTTACTGCCAGTTTCCACATATGATCACAGCAAATGTTTCACATATGACTACTTCTGCTCAGTGATTTTCTAGCCAGAAAAGTTATACTGTCCTGTTCCTATGGAAGAGTTTTCCTAACTAGATGTACCTTCTAATAAACATTTTGTGTCCTGGGAGAGGTGAAAAAAAGCTTCAGAAAGTAAAAATATAAAGTTGCACTGTTTGGATATTTGCTGGGGACTGTGCTTTGCATTAAAAATATCATCCTAAATCACATCATTTCAAATTTTCACAGAAACAGAGAAAACTACATTGCACCAGTCAACTACAGGTAGCCCTCAAGAGCAGCAATTGGGACTGGATTTGCTGTTGCTAAGCAATGTGGTCATAAAATGTGATGTCACATGACTATGCTGTTTAGTGACAACAATTTCAGCACTCCATTTCTTTACTTCATTAAGTTAGGGCATCACACAATGATCATTTGTGACCTCCTGCTGGCTTCCCATTGACTTTCCTTGTTGCAAGCCAGCAATGGAGGTTGTAAATGATATCTATAATTGCTGCTATCCATAACTGTGAGGTTGCACCAAGTACTCAGATAGTAATCGTGTGACTAGGGGGATGCTGTGATGGCCAGAACTGCGGGGACCTGTCATAAGTATTACTTGTTTGGTCCCATCATAGGTTTGAACAGTTGCTGAACAAGTAGTTGTTAAGCAAGCACACTTGCATTTGTCTTAGAATGGAGGGAATCTTTCCTGTTCCTTATTATCATACCTATTTTAAATGGGGAAGTCAGGGAGAGAACCTGGGATCTTCTTTTTACAATGAATGTACTTGGGTACTAAGCTATTATCTTTGTTCATATCTCAGATTCTGCAAAAAAAAAAGTGATATTATATAATCTTAAGGGAAGAAAGGTTGTATTTTAAGAGTTTGGAAAATGAAATATTCTGGAAAACAGCACACTGCAATACATGTATATAAGAAATGGAAAATAATGATTGAAAAAATAAGGGCAATGATTGTGGGAGTTGTAGTCTCAAACATCTAGAGAACATCAGGTTGAGAAAGACTGCAAGGTATATTTTTGTATGTGTCAGCCCTTTGAGGTAGCCCAGAGTCAGGCACCAAAATCATGAATACTAAAACTGCTTTTATGTTGGGTTACAGTAGCGGAATCTTGCAAATTTCTCAAATTCCATTCCTGCTTTTTGTGGAGATTTATCTGACTATTGTCTAGGCTGGAACTCTTCTTCCCTCCAGGTTATTCTCACAGACCACACTATCAAGTAACACCTTTACATACATGTTTTGCCTAACATTACCTAGTTTTGAGGAATAAGTGGAGATCTGTGTATAAACAAATTACAATTTAGAACTAACAGTCATCAACATGAGTGATATCTCAATGTTACGCTTACTAGATATTGCTGGAATAATTCTTTCCACCAGCTGCAAAACTCATGGTCAATGGTGAAAGGGGCAGAAGTTATAGTGAACCTGGAGATCACCACAGGGAATCTTAATCAAGACTAGGGATCAAGACTTCAACTGATGCTCTTGACAAACTGGGAAGAGCAAAATCTAATTAAAATTACTTTAATTGACTTAATTAAATGAAGTTGAGGTGATTACTCAGCATGTTTTTAATCATTTCCCTTTTCTGTCAGATTAAATATTACAATTTAGTGGCAAGTTATAGAGTAGTCCTGAGGGATGAATTTAAAGCATTACAGCTTCGAGTAAGGGCTTGGTGCCCTAAGCGGTATGTTTCTGAACTAGTCCAAGGTTATTAAAAAATAAGAAAAATATTTCCCTTCCTCTGCTTATTCCTTCTTGAGAACTATTTTTATTAAATGGGTCCCAATTGGCAATGGCAATATTTTATAGCAGCTGGGAAACTCTAATAATTAGCCCTGTTGGAGGAGGCTGATGGTAGGTGGAATTCGGCAACAGGTGGAAAGGTTCCGCTTTTCAAATTCAACTTCTCAGGTCTTTTCTATCATATTTTTCCATTTGCTACAAATGTATTTTGCCTACTTACAAAGTCAGTGATTAATGTAGTTAATATAATGGTATGTGAAAATGACCTTGAAGGAGAGCAGAAGAGATTCTGCTTAGGAAAAAGAAGGAGTTCCCAGTGGCTTAACAGTCAGAGGCAGAAATTTAGAAAGAACCTGCCCTAATTGATTGGGCAGTTAAAAGTGGTGATGGGAGATTTATATCTTCACCCTTGCAAGATTCTATGAACGTAGCCTTACAATAATGTGCAATTAGCTCATCCAGTTATACTTCCTGTTTTGTTCACCTGGGAATACTGACAATTATTATTAATAAAAGTGGGAGAGAGAGAAGACCAGGGCACTTCTTGTAGATATTCCTGATTGTTAATGAACAAGAAAAAAGAAGCTTCTCACCACTTTGATGGATAATTAAGAGTCGGAGGATCAGATTTGGCTATTTTCAGTAAGACCCTCATAGGGTTCAGCTCATGATGAGGTGGCTCTATTTGTGCCATTTCTATGAGTGTTATGCCCAAGGACCAGATGTCAGCCTTGTAATCATAAGGGGTGTCTTTCATAGTCTCACACATCACTACTTCGGGAGCCATCCTAAAAACAACAACAACAAAGAAAGAAGAATAAAATTCATTTTCGCTGAAAGTGCTTCTAAGAATCAGATCTTGTTTTCAAGCTAAACTATATATATTCAACTAGTCTAGACTTAGAACTGACCATTAGCCTTAAAAGCAAAGATCTCCAAACTTAGCAACTTTAAGACTTGTGGACTTCAACTCCCAGAATTCTCCAGCCAGCTATGCTAGGAGTTGAAATCCACAAATCTTAAAGTTGGCACGTTTGGGGTCCCCTGCTTAAAAGTATAACTTTGCAACTAAACTATGAATGCAATATGAAAATTCATCCCTTCTACACTCAGAATGAACTAGCCAGGATCGCAAATTCCTGAGTCCCATTATCTTTGGTAATACCATTGAATATAACATAGAAACACATTTTCTACTGAAATTAACAGATAACAAAAATGGTTAATTTCTTTAGGCTATATCCAGTCCACATATACTCTCCGGTCATTCATCTCTCCATTCTCAATTGGCCACAGAAGGCAAGCAGTCGGCTAATGACATCTGGTCTAAATACTGTTTGAAATGGCAAATTAAATGCACATTGATTGCGTCCCCTTAATGATGATGCAGCTGATTTAGAGATTAAATTCTTGGAGTGAATAGTTGTTTTTATACCCTTGGGAATGCCTCCAAAGGACATTCCACCAAATTAGGGTTGGGGTGGGGTGAGAAGAAGACAGAACAGCCCAAATTCCATCAACATCTCATTCCAGATACAGGCTGTAGTTTCTTTTCTGCCCTAAGAGAAGCAGTGATTCAAACAGCAGAATATTGTTGCAGCTGACAGTTTTTATTCCTTCTATATTTTTTCCTCCACCTCCAAGGATAAAACCCTTGAAACATACAAACTCATTTTTTTTAAAAAAACACAAATATTAAATGCAGCATTGCCTTCTAGGTTGATATACTCTTTTTATATTTTACATAAATGGGACAAATGGGACATTGCACTAATTAAGATCAAGATATCAGTTACACAACACAGAGACAAATGTAACTGCACACACAAGGCATACTTTAAAATACAGCCCATAATAAAATACAGCCCCAACACCGTATGTTGATTAGGACACAACATCTCCCTTTCCCTCCCAATGTAATTTGGCAGTGACTTCCTTAAAGGCCATGCCACTGTGAACTAATCCTCTTACCAGTATGGCGTGCCAATGAAAGAATCCCTCTTCTGCACAGTCTTCATGTTTTTGGCTGATACTCCAAAATCGGCTGAAAAGAGTTGAAATCATTTTCAATTCTTCAATTAATGCTTTGGGTTGCAGTTAAAAGGGCAACCTTTAATTATATCACTCCTTGGTTTATTTCTCAAAGCAAGCATACAATAGAAACTTTAACCTGGATGGATACCAAGGACTCTCTTCATCTTATTGTACTACAATTCCCATATTGGGGAATTGGCTCTACCCATGTCTAGTCTATACTAATGATCTGAAACGTGTTAAAAGTATAAAAACAATGATACTGTTAAATGATGGAATCTATACCCACAAAACATATTATTGCTAAATATTTTTCTCTTAAAACAGACTATTTCAACGTGGATGAGTATTTGAGAAGGATGTGAAAAAGTAACTTAGTATTCTGATTAACTTGCTTTTTTTAGATAACCATAATTATAGGGATGGTAAAGAAAATACTTCTAAATCTCCCGTCAAGTTAGAGCAGAATTTTGCTTTACTATAAGAGTGAAGCCATTCACTGCCAGGGACTTCACCCCCATCCCAACACACAATTCATGGTTTTGCTATTTAATTTCAATTTCTTACAGTAATTATTATTTCCACCTCTTCCCAGAAATTTCCACTAGAAAGATGATACAAAGCAAGGCATGTGAGCCTTCTCCACTCATATAGTAATGATGCCAATTCTCATGAAACTCAAAAAGAATAGCAAGCAATGATTTATACACAAGCCCTCACAGAACAATAAGAAAAATGCTGAGTTCATAAGTAGCTTTCAGTGTCCCCTTACATTCCTACACCTACTACTTCTGCTTTTATTAGTCTTTTTAATGAGCCTAATTTCTTTATCCACTTGTGTACTGGACTTTTTATTGTACAATTTTGGATTTTATAACTGCTGAGAATTTACATGCTGTTAAATTATGTTCTTGGAAGAACTGGCGCTCTCATAATTCTACCCTGAACAGACTAAGACGGGACAAGCATGAAGATGAATATATGGTGACGATGAGAAGACAGCTTGAGAGGGAAGATCACAATTAAAAGTAATGATAGGGCATGCAACATTTAAACTTCTGTTCTGCTCCTGAAAAGATAAATGCTTATTGATTGAGGTATATGATTATAGCATTGTCTTCTAAATACCGGCCCAATACGAATTTGCTCTGCAAACAGGTTTTCCATTTAGAGTTAATCAATTTGCAAAAACTTCTGCTTATAAAGGAGAATCTTTTAAATGAGTTCTAAACAAAAGCATCCAATCCCAAGGAACCATTTCTAGACAATTAAGAGTTGGGATAGCGAGTAAAAATCCTAAGAGTCTAACAAGAGTATTAGAACAGCAGCTATCCTTATGTGGCAGCATGGAAAAGGTTGGCCTTTTGGACAAAGAGATACTGTTTAAGCCAGTAAGAGAAGAGAATTCTTTGGTGGTTGTGTCTTTCTCGCTGTAGCCAATGTTACATTCCACAAAGTTCACAAAATGACAAAGTTGCTGAACTGACTCCCCCCCAAGAGTGCGCAAATTAGCAGCACACACACACAACATTACACTCTCTGGAAGGGGATGGAGGGGAGATATCAGAATTAAAATTCTTTTATTGGGCAAGTGTGATTGGACACACAAGGAATTTGTCTTGGTGCAAATGCTCTCTGTATACATAAAGAAAAGATACATTTGTCAAGATCAGCAGCAAGCACTAAAGTTCTGAAGATGAAATGAAGCACCTAGCAACTATGATTATGTCTCTTTCCCTTACAAAAACCTCAGTTAAAAATCATTATTTTCTTTCAAAAAATGTTTATCAATTTATACCAGCTTACACTAAACTACATCTCTGCTGATTCTCTCTCTACATTATTTATGAACATATTTAAAAGCATTAGGCTCAATACAATCCATACAAGTTTCTGTTCAGAAATCACCTTTCAATTGTGAAAATTGAAATTTATTCTTGTGCCATGATTTATATTCTTAAATAAAGTCTCTATCCTTGTTCCCTGGGATATCCTCAAATATTGATCTTAAAATTCTTCCTTTCTTCCTTTCCTAAAAGTTATGTAATTTCACATACGAGTTGTTTAAAAAAAAAGTTCTGTATGGATACCATCATTTTGCTCATGGAGTCTAAACTCACTGTAAATTTCATTTACATTATCTGTGTTACATGGATTATAAAAAGCTGTAAATCTCCGAGAGGCAACAAATCTATACTCTTAAGACTGAAATAGGAACAAGAATTTTATTTGCATTGTTTCTGACTTCATGGGGCCTCTCTCTGGTAGCTTTTGGCCGCATGATTGAATGTATTTAGTCTTCTTTGTTGGAGAAATAGATTTCCAGTTAAAATATTTTTGCATTTTGTCATGGCTAATAACATGAGAAAAGCCCACCAAGGCTGCAATCCAGTGCATGCTTTTTCAGGAGGGAGGTCCATTAAATAGTGGGACTTCTTTCTAAATACAAGAATGTACATTAAGAACTTATTGAAAGGAAATTCAGATATCTGGTCAATAATAAAAGCTGCTGGATTACATTCAGCAAATTCTTCTTTTCCAATCCAACAAATTCTGATCAGTGAAAAAGGCTGGAGGAAGACCAATCTAACAAAAGACTATTATTTAACAGCTAAATGTGCCCAGTTGCCTGATAGCTATTTTCATGACAAAATAGTCCCAGCAATTAAAAGAAAGCCCTTCCCTACTTTTCACACTTACTGAATACAAGAACCAATCTTTTGATATAACAACTATTTCTCATTAAGAGCTAAGTACATTTCTTACCAAGTTTAATATCTCCATCTAGGGTTAGCAACACATTGCCTGCCTTCAAGTCTCGATGGATAATCTTCTTGCCATGCAGATAGTTCAGGGCCTCCAGCATCTGGCGACAAATCACCTGGATCTGGGATTCAGTCAGGCCTCGATCCAGCTCTATAAAGCAGTTGGAAAGACTTCCTGAGTTATACGTTGTTCTGAAATTCAATTAGCAGTAACAGGCATAGACTGAGAGTGACAACCAATTGAAACATAACTAGTTGACTAATAAATTACAAGGGATAAAGACCAAAACCTGCAATATAGGTTCTACTATGACTTAGGACCACAATTGAGCCCAAAATTTCTGTTGCTGAGTGAGAATTTGTTAAGTGAGTTTTGCTTAAGTGAGTTAATGACCTTTCTTGCCACAGTTGTTAGATGAATCACTGCAGTTGTTAAGTTAGTAACATGGTTGTTAAGTGAAGCTGGCTTCTCCATTGACTTTGCTTGTCAGAAATTTGCAAGAGGCCATTGCATGACCCAGGACATTGTAACTAAATTTGAGTCAGTTGCCAAGCTTCTGAATTTTAATCATGTGACCAGAGGAATGCTGCAACAGTCATAAAATGAAAAATGGTCATAAGTCACTTTTTTCAGTGCTGTTGTAACTTCGAACGGTCACTAAACAAACTGTTGTAAGTTGAGGACTATGTTTTAGGGGCCATGGCCTGTTTCCTCTTAAATATAGGTAACTCATGTTAATATGTAAAATCTATCACCCATCAATTTCATTTTCAGTGCAAAATCAGGTTTAAAAACTCAAAAAAATCAAGATGCTGTAAAAAGTGTGCACCGTCTGTTTTATTTGTCACACCCATTAACAGCTTTCCCCTCTTTCCTCACTGGAAGGATGCTTCAAAAAGAATAGCAAGCATTCCTCTGCTTAGAAAAAATTAGAAAAAAGATAGCAAGAGTCCCTCTGCTTAGAAAATATTCGAAATATTAAATCCTGACTGAGGCTATCACGAGGCAGTACAAAAGGATACTTGGCCCCATATAGCAAGAATAATATTTTTAAAAAATAGATTGTTTACCTCATGTAAATACAAGAGATAAAAAAAAAATCACACCTCATCTCTTGTTTTTACTTCAAAGCAAGAAGATAGTGATCCGAATATGGAGGGACAGTACAGATCTAAATGATTTTGTGGTTGCTCTAGTGAAATTTCTCTTCACTTCTAGCAAAACAGTCTCCCTGATAGTCTGGCAACAAAATAGATTAAAGTTTGAGTGTCATGGAGGAATGGTTTGGAAAATCCATTGGAGGATTATTCTGTATTGTGGTATGTCTTTGTGTGTTGTCTGTTTTGTGATTCTTAGCTTGGAGGATAGTCTGCAGCCCATATTAAGGCTTATGGAATGACAAGGATAACAATCAAATAAGTGCTTAGCCATTCATTAGCATCCAAAAAGAGTTAGGTTGTAATAGCTATTTCAAGCTGAAAGAAACCTATTCTGTTAATGGCCTCCTAAAAGTGATTGCGCCTTGGTCAAATTCATAACCATAAATCTTGCTGGTTGTCTGAGCCACCACAGCAGGAATGGGTATAAGAGGTACTAGGTGTAAGTCAGTCTTCAGAAAGGCATTTTTTTCTACAGGCAAGATAAACTTTAGAAGATGCAATTCCTGCTTACTTGATATATTTTTTGTAATTGATTTTTTTGCTCTTTTTTCAAACATTTGTACTGTCTTTATCTCTTTAAAGAATTCATATGGCTTGCAAACAGCAACTCTTTCTTCCTTACATGGGTTAAAAACATAGAAACTAAGAATCAGAAAACAGTCTACACACAAAGACATACCACAGTACCAAATAAATGAGGCCAACCATACATATGCCAAATTCCAAAAGCTTTGTAGGATAGACCCATCCAAAACTCTGGCCCACTGCCCAGAAAAGGGGGAAAAAACAGGCCCTTAAGGCTGAAAGCCAACAGGGCTGTTTAGCATACCAAGAGATGCATGTTCATTGGAGGAAAAGATAAGGATATTTATATAAATAAATATGTAATTCTCCAAGGCGCAATTATTACAGATGACTAATAATAAAATAAGGAAAGCCTTGACTCACAGTTATTGTAATAGAAATTAGTTTCCTTATTACTATTATTTTGCTAAACCACAATAGATAAGACATTTAAGAATATTCCCTATCTTTTGCATTAAGTAGCATGATCCCATATGAATGTCAAACCAAGCTAATCCAAGAGGGAGCTGTTAAGTAGGACAGCCATTCTTTCAGCAGCAAAACATCTTAAACAAAGGAAAAAAGCTCCCATTTCAGTGTTTATTTCTTATTTGCCCTCTTCCAGTAGAGAAGTTGAATTCATTTAAAGAGCAGACATGCTTGAAGGGATAGGGGGAATGCTCCCTTTGTCAGCATTATATTTCTTCAAAATGTTTCCAGAGATAGCAACAGTTGGTTCTGAGAGAGTTTTTCGGGATTTCAAGTCCTCTCCAAGCTGAAATTGTCTTCAAGGTTGCAATGACCAAAGGATAGGCTCATCGTGAAACTAAAGGGCACAGTTGGGATTCATTGCCCATGATCAGAATCAGTGTTAGAATCAGAATCAATTAATTGCATATTAAAGTTTCCCCCTCTTTCTTTAGATCTACAGCTTCTATGACAAGTTACCCCTAAACAGGCAGAACTTCACTACCTCCTGACTTAAGGACGGCTGCTGAACTTTTAGTTTTAATTTAATTTGAAATATTGCTTGATTCTTCCACTTTGCTTTCCTCTATAAGCACCTTTTCAGTCCTGGAGGTGATTTGTGAAAAAAAAAAAAACACAGTGCAATTAAAATCCCAAAGAACCCCCCCAAAAATTTTTTCCTATCAGGAAGACCATGAAACCATCACTACAGGTCACTTTGAAATATCAGCCATAGCAAATTAAACCACATCACTAGAAAAAATTTTTTTTTAAATAGACTTGCTCTATCTTTTTTTCACCACTGGGCACCTCTCACTCTGCATGATAAAGCCACAACTCCCAGACTGATCTCAAAAATAAAGCACAACATCCATAGGTTTGCTTGCTATGTTGTATTTTAAGAAAAACTGTGAAAAAAAGCTTTTTCTATAATGGCATATGTCTTCCTACTACTAAATTTCCTGTATACACATATAATTATTGTCAGGTTATTATGGGAATATTTTATGCGCATACCTTTAAACACAAGCTGTTATATTCTATATACAATATGGGATGACCTACTGTTAGTACCTATTTATTTAGCAACATACTCCAAAGGTTAACAATATGAAGCTTTATTGTACTTACCTAGCATAGTAGCATCTACAGCTCCACCAGGACAAAACTCAATCATAATCTAAAGAGAAAGACATAATTTAAGTGGATAGGCAAAAATGATATTTATATAAGATACACATTTTATTTCATAAAATATGCAAAATGAACAAATAGGTTATTTAAAACATACATATATTTGATATGTGTATACACACACATAACTATATAACAACTATATATAAAAAACCTGGAGTCACTGAATGAACAACCACAACAATAACAATAGTCAGTTATTTCTTCTTCAAAATAAAGTTGCATTTCAGTAACATTTTCACAACTGAGCTGGACTCTTTGCTGCTGCTGAAATATTATAACAAGGTGTTAAGATGCTCATTCAAACACAAGAATAACTAAACAGATTTTCTTTCCTCCTATGAGGAAAGATAAATGTTGTGTTAAAGTCAAGGCAAACCATCTTACAGTTCTTGTAATTTTTAACAAAAATAATAATTTGTTTCAAAACTATTAATACATTCAAAGCACACTGGGTTGTCTTTGAGTTAGACTGGAACAACAGTATTGTTATAGTTTGGGCCAGATGTGCCCTACAATTATTCCTTTTAGTTTAGAAATCAAAACCCTCCAGTCCCTATGTGTATCGATGTCTCTGTCCAAAATGGCTAAGGCTCACACATTGTCTCTTCATGTGTTTAGAGATTTTGACTGCTGCTTGAAGGATTGTTCCAGATATTTTCACTTGATAATAGAATACGATAGTGGTCATAGCAGATGTGATAACAGCTTGAAAGCCTAGAACGGGGTCATCAACCTTTTGGACCTCAGGGACCACCAAACTCATGATTTTAAATCCCAGGGACCACCGGTTCTGTGGGCAGGGCCTAATTTGTGGGTGTGGCTTGGTGGTCATGTGACTGGCTGGATATGGCTTGTATATAAATATTATAAATATTTTTATAAATATTGATTTTTTTTATAAAAAAAGAGCAATTTTTACTCAAAATCAGGCAAAGCAGGCAGGCAGATTGAGCTCACAGAATCATTCAGTGATCTATCTATCTGCCATTGGCTAGCTCAGTCTGTCAAATAAAATTTGCTTGCCATGAGTCTGCACTGAATAATAGAAACTTCAGTCCTAAGGGAGGTTCGGCTGTGCTTAAAAGCAGAGCTGAAGATCTAGAGACTAGATAGAAAGCAAGAAATCCAACCATTTCCTGCTTCCTAGCTAATCTAAATCTCCCGGCACAGCAGAACAGATGACGGTCGGAAAAAGGAAAAATAGCAATTTAGCAAGCAAGTTAACTGGGTAAGGAGTGAGTGGGCAGGGAGGGTTCCCGCGGGCCATGTGGGTGGCACAGCCTTGTGTTTCTGTGCAGCCTGGACTAATTGCTTTGGGGGGGTACTCTGAGGGTGAGATTTCTCTGAGGCCCACCAAAATTTGATGGCCGCTGGCCTGGACAATTCACCATATTATTTGGAAGTTTTCTTCTGCTTTAGGTTATTTCAATGATTATCAATTCTCAGTACAGATCTGCCTTTGAAATGTTTGGAGAGGGAGGGGCTGGAGGAGCTATCAGTTTTCAGGTTTTTGCTGTTCAGTTTCATCTGCTTTCACTGTGCTAACATGATATTTAGGTAGAATATTTTGTACCTGTCATTATCATATCTTTTGAAATATGTTTCTTGATGCCCTCCCTTTAACCAAAACCAATCAGACTCGCATTTTAATTTCTTTAATTTCTTAGCATAATCATATCATATCATGAGTCGCCATGGGCAAATAGAGGGCAATATAAATTCACTAAATAAATAAATATCAAATATGATTTTTTTATTGCAAAAACAGCTACTCTGAACCAATAAAATTTCAGCATTATTTTTATATTCAAGTAATACCGAGATCTTTTCCAACCAGAAATAGGAATGCTTATTGTCGCGGATGAGTTGAATCAACAAAGTTATTGCTTATAACTCTGTACAGTACATGATATAGACAAGATTATTCACATAATTGTCTGTCTTCAGTTATTTTGGCTTGTCCTATTTGCTCTCATAAGGTGGGCATATTCCAGATCCCTTCCATAAGGCAATGCCATTTAGTGGGATATAGTACTTGTGCGTTTTTTTGTGGCAGTGCCCCTCCTTTGGCAATTTCCCCTCCGCGATGGATTTCAAATGTTCCCAACTCTGTTAGACTTCCAAAAAGCTTTAAATTCCTATTTCCCACCTTCCCCAGTATTAGGCCAGAAAGACAGATGAGGTGGAACATGATCTTGGCTGTGTCATTTGATATACTGGATATTTGATATCAAATAATTGGATGGAAACCCCGTGCAACTTAGAATACTTTAAATGACTACATATGAATTTTAGGTTCTATTTAATTAATTTTTGTTTTGCAAGTGAATTTGAACCAGCTAGGCCAATATCTGCAACTTGCTATAGGGCATAATTACCCAGGCAAGCCAGAAGAAGAGTGACTCCCTCCCAGGTACACTCATAAAATAATGCCAACCTTCCAAATTGGGCTGCATCTTTTGGATCAGATTTTAAGGAGTAAATGCTATACGTCTCTGCGGTTCTTTAAAGCATCCCTTTTACCATTTAATTATTTTTAAACCCACAAACATTTGCTCATTCCTGCGCCATCTCCAAGTCTTCAGCTAGGATGAGACTTTGCAACATTTTATGTGTTGTGCATGCTCAAAAATTCCTTCCTTCATTCATTGGGCATACTGGGCATGCCCACAAATTCATTCTTTCTCTTGGTTGCCAATAATTCCCTACACTTTTTGTACTAGGGACAATCCTACAAGGTTTTCTCATTACTCTAATTTGAGAGTTGCCATCAACCGTGTTAGAAACCAGATTCCAGAAAACCCTTAATATAGAAAGCATTTATTCTGTCAGTCTGGGAATACTGAATAATTGAACCACGTTTTAATCTACAACAATTTTTTATAGAGATATTTGTAGAGCTGCTAACATGGCTCATTAAGCCATTCCCTAGTTGTTCATATGAACTGTAAGTGAAGCTCCTCTTGGCAGACCAAAGTCCCCAAACAACCCTACTGTTTGCATCTGGAGAACTCATGATTTGAGTTCTAGCTGGAGAACTCATGCTTTGCTAACGGTAAATTAATTTGGGATTGCTCTTACTGGTTATATTAAGTGCTGTTGCAAATGTTCCTATGCCATTTTAGTAGTTTATTGTCTTTTATTTTGATACGTTCGATGCATCTGTGACCTGTAATGAACAATAAAGCAAGCTTCATTCACATTTTATTCCCCTCATACAAGCTTGAAATGTAGTCAATTAAGAAAACCAGTCACTGCAGAATCATTCCTCTCTGGTATACTCTGGATACAATATAACTGACAGCTGCTTAAATGGATTACTAAACTGTCCAGCTAAGCACCAACTGTTTGTCAACTTTTGGCTGATCTCAAAAAGCTAGGCAATATCAGACTATCTGTCAACTCATAAAACTTCAATTAAACTGATTTAATTGGAGTAACTGCCGGAATCCTGACAATAGGACAGTTATATGAAATCCAATAATAAGGCTTGCCTTCAATCCCAAACATAAACATTTAAGAGTGCTTCGTTCTATAGAACAATATTAAACAGACATTTATTTCCTTTTTTAAGCTCTTGGCTAGCTACAGTATACAAGTTGTGTGGTCAAATTCAACAGAAGAAAGAAACAGGATTTAGTTACCATGGAACAAATAGAAAATAACACAATTCACTACTCAAGTCTAGTAGCAGTGTTGATGCCCTTTCTTAAATGAAACACCGGGAAAGAAAAAGTCTAAAAATTGTTCACAGTGGTTATTCCTGGGACTCATCTAAACCTTTCATATACATTAGCACAATAACTTCATGACCTTATTTTCCTTAGCTCAATGGTACTAGGCAGCTCTCATCTCTCAGCTAAAATTTGCCTTCCAATGTTTGATCACTAGTCTTAAAAAGGCAGCATACCAGATGGTTTCTGTAAAGCCCTAAAATAGTGAACAAATCTGGCATGGGATTCCTGAACCATCTCCAGCCCATCTGCTTCAGCGTTCTTTTTCCAGTTGTGAAAAAGTCACTGAACAACATACACTCTTAATTTCATAAATAATTTTAATAGAAGTGGTTTAAAAAAGAAAACAAAAAAAAGAAGGAATGGTCTTATGTAATGATATTGATGGGCCCCATAGCCGAGTTCAAGCCAGACTTGATATTCTAATCTAAACCTTACAAACGTAAGTTTCATGTAACAGAACTACCCAGTGGTGACAAATGTCACATTTGTTATTTCTCTTTTTAGTATTTGTCAATTCCTTTTAAAATATTTTTTTGAATTGGTTTCAAGGATAAGCATTTAATCACAAACTAGAGTAGCCTTTTGAAGAGAAAAAACTTAAAAAGAAAAGAAACAAGGTGACTAGCTGGAAACTGCTTTGGAACTCGTTGACTTGTATGGGTGCTGGGGAACATGATTAGAACAAGAGATTCTTCAGACCAACCACTCTTGGATAGTTACCACACAACCGAAGCTAATTAGGATCACTGTAGCTCTGCGTTGGAGGCCATTCTCACTCCTGTAGAAAAACCAATATCTATACCATCCATAAAAGATTTGCACCAGGATCTTGAGAATCAGTCTTGATTAAGAAATAGGGGAGAGTTACTGTTTCATTAGGTAAGAAGTCAGGTGCTCTCAGAGAGACTGTTAAGATTCAGTCACCAGTAAAAACTTAAAAAGGATGCTAGCCATTGCATTTTTGGAGACAGATTTGTGACTTCACTCCAGAGAGATCAAATCCATCCTTTCACATTTCTTACCGTGGTCTGTACTCTTCTCAGCAAAAGAGGTTTAAAGTCTGTTGCATGGAAATTTAACTGCTGAGTAAGCAAAGATTAGAGCCGAAAACTTAGTACCACCCTTCCTGTGTGAAGAATTCATGACCTTTGGTCGCTTTTCTTACAAACTAGCAATTCTCTCAATAATTAATCCTGCAGGGAAAGCACGCTAAAAAGTAGGGTGTGTGTGCCAGAGACAAAATGCG